TACACCCCATTACACATTGTCACCTGTGTCCATACATTGACCATATTATCTATGTATGCAATCGTTGTTTTTTTTTGTAGTTTTTGTTTCTTTACTCAATTTGGGTAGTATGTCATTTTTAATTTTGGTTAAATGACTTTCATATCCTGTCATCCTCTTCGTTTTTTTTTTTGACCGGCCACAGAGCCGAGGGGTTGATTATTCGTGAAAATGAACAAAAAAAAAAACTAACAGCAAAGGTACTTAATGGAAATTGGCCAATTTTCTTAATTGATTCCCCCGCTCAAAAAAAGGACAATGTTCGACATATATACCTACAAATTAGGTCATCGCATAAAGTGCGTATGCCGGGACATATTTGTGAAACATCATTAATTGTTGTCATATGTTGTGTTTTTGTTGTATTCAAATGAATTGTTACGAATTCGTTGGGAGGGATGTCAGATAGAAATTCAGAAAAATTTTTGCCCTGCAAAAAAAGTGATCTTTTGTGTCGAATGACATAAGAAGTAGTTTTCATATACACTTAAGCACAAAACGACGTAACTTTAAAAAAAATTGTTCCAGAACCAATATACCGATATATTTTAAAATATTCCGAAGCATTTGTATATTTTTAAATTTGGACTGGTATTGCCCATTTGGTGCACAATTAATTTGAAATCGTTTAAAGATATATATGGGAGCTATATCCAAATCGGAACCGATCTCGATAAAATTTGGCAAAGATATTTCTGAGCTGTATTTGATATATTTCCCTGAATGCCGTTGTTACGGAATGCATATTACGGCTGTGGGTAACAAATATAACAAATCGGATGAACAGTATATATGGGAGCTATAGCTATATTTGATCCGATCTTCACCAAATTTGACATACTAGCTTCTAGACTCAATTCGGTCGTAAGTGCCAAATTTCATCTCATTTGGACAAATATTAGACGTTTGGTGCACAATAAAAGGTAAATCGGACGAAGTTATATATGGGAGATATATCCAAATCTGAACCGATCTCGATAAAATTTAGCAAATGTGTTTCTGAGCTGTATTTGATAAATTTCCCCAAATATTGTTGTTACAGAGTGCATATTACGGCTGCGGAGGACAAAAATAACAAATCGGATGAATAATATATATATGGGAGCTATAGCTATATCTGAACCGATTTCGATCAAATTTGGCATACTTATTTTCAGACCTAATTTGGTTGTATGTGCAAAATTCCAAACTATTCGGGCTTATATTACACGTTTGGTGCACAATAAAAGGCAAATCGGACGAAGATATATATGGGAGCTATATCTAAATTTTGACCGATTATCTCCAATTTCAATAGGGTTCGTCCTTGGGCCAAACAAATGATTTGTGCAAAATTTCATCTGGATAGGGCAATAAATGCGAACTGTACTTTGTTTACAAAAATACAAAAATACATGGACATGCATAAAACGATTCAAAATGTGATTTTATGCAGATCATCAAAAGGAACTATGGGTATATCTCGTTTCCTTTTGCCTCTTACAAACAAATGCACAAAGACATAATTCCCTGACCACCTTGTGGTGTAGGGTATAAAAATGAATTTTTCAATCAAGGCTGTCAAATATCATCTAGCCTTGTGTTCTGTTCTTCCCTTTTGTTCTAGCCACCAATTTCTGTTTACTCTTTAAATTTAAGTTTACATTAATTTAACTCTGAATATTCCTTGATGTCTGTTGTTTATTTTGAGATAAAATGGTATGTTTTGTGTATTTTTTCTTTGAAACACGTCCGTTTTAGAATGTTCAAATAATATGACATTCATTTGTGGATGAGGAGATTTTTTTTAATTTTATTGACACAGATGAATTTTCAAAATATCTATTCCTATTAATTATTAGGTATGTACGACGACCCAATATTTTGTACTTTTAACCCAAAAGTCCTGTAAATGAGAGCGAGCAAAGAGAACAATATTGGCAGTTAGAGACTGAGAAATAATTTGCTCATCTAGTAACGATGGAAAAATGTTTTTTAATTATTTTTCAGATAACAATCATTTAACGTTGTATTATACGGAGTAACAGTACCCTATGTATTATGACGTACCATTCAGTATGTTTTTAGTTACATTTTCCCAAAATACAGTGGCTGTTCGCCCCACTGTTCAAAATTAACGATTTTTTTATAACATTGCACACAATTTATTTCTCCTTCAGTTCGCATTACCACAAAAACTGCCGCATCCAATTTTCACAGTTCTCTAAATAATGGACAGTTTGAGGCCAGTTTAGATATTATGTTAGTGTCAGATGTAAAGTGACTTTTCCACATTTTATATATTTAGCATTTTTATAGCATACTTTTGAGCGTTAGCATAAATTTTCAAACTAATTGCTGTACTACAAAATGCACATACTATACAGTGTGAGATGAAAAAAATGCAACCAACTTCAGACTGCTGTCATTTCCAAGCCACTCTGTTAAAATTATGCCAGTGATAGCTCATTATATTGTTTAAAAGCGTACAAAAGCATTTTTGGTGAGAATTTTTCAGAAAAAAAAAAAAATTTATTCGTGATGGAACTCAAGCGTGATGGTGTGATTTCTTTATATTTGGCTGGAAAACCACAAGGGACCATTGTTAGAGCACTCCAACATTTAAATGTGAATAAATCTTTTGTGACTCGTACCATCGCTCGTTACCGTGATACTAGTAGCTTAGCTCGACGTCAAGGAAGTGGACGTAAGAAAACACCAACATCAACAGAAATGGTTCGAAATATAAAGAAGCAACTTGATCGAAACCCTCGTCGCACTGGCCGAAAAATGGCTCGTGAGTTGAACATATCCCCATTCCATTTCATTCGGCAAATATTGAAAAAAATCAGCTCGGGGTAAGGCCATTGAAGTTTCAAAAAGTGCAAGAACTTACACCGCAAGAGAAAGAAAATAGGCTCAGAAGAGCTAAAGAGTTGCTTCGCTTGGCCGAAAGTGGTGAACTGCCGAATTTGGTTTTCTCCGATGGGAAACCATTCGTTGGCCAGCAGTTTGTAAACATACAAAACGATCGCGTTTACTTGCCAAAGAGGTCAACTGAAAATGTGCACCTTCGGTTTGCCACCAGAACTCAAGCGCCGGCCATGGTGATGGTGTGGGCCGCCATAACAACCGATGGTCGCTCTCCGCTCGGACCGTGGCATCAGCATAAATGCCGAATTTTATTGCGAAAATATTCTGGAGGCTGTATTTTAGCTACAGACCTTGGACACTCCAACAGGACTCAGCACCATCGCACTCAGCAGGCGCCATCCAAGAATGGTTACAAAATGAGGTTTCTCGCTTCATTTCCAGCGCACAATGGCTACCAAAATCTCCGGATAACAATCCGTTGGACTGTTGTGTCTGTAGTATTTTGGAAAGCAAGGTTGGCACTAAAAATACCAAAGTGTCGATCACCTCAAGCAAGCGCTTCGCCGGGAATGAGCCAATATACCGCAGAGTAACATTCGGGCAGCGTGTGACGGTTTCATTGGCCGTTTGAAGCTAATAAGTTGTGCCAAAGGTGACCAATGCGTACAAATCTAAACTTATTCTAAAATTTAATGCTAATTCCGACATTTTTCATTCAATAAAATTAAAAAAAAAAACAAGTAAAAATTATGGCCTTTGACTTTGTTACAGTTTTTTATCTCACCCTGAAGGGGCTTTAGAAAGACGTGTACTTGAATACAACAATTTTTGTCATAGGCTGTAGTAGCCATTATGAACTTTAAATATGAAATTTGAAATAATTCCGATAAAAAAATGTCGCAAAAATCATGAAAATGCTGAATATTGGAAGGTACCGTAATATGGAGGCTTCACGGAGGCGTGGACCTGCATACGAAATTTTTTGCCCTAGATTGTAGTACCCATTAAGATCTTCCAATACGAAATTAGAAACGATCCCGATACTTGATCAAAATACCGAATATAGGGAGGTTATATGGGAGCTATACGAAGACGTGGACCTGCATACGATTTTTTTTGGCCATAGGTTGTAGTACCCATTAAGATCTTTCAATACGAAATTTGAAACGGGTTTCGAAAGAAAATGATTACAACAGACAGACGGACATCGCTAGATCGTCTTTGAATTTTACCCTGATCCAGAATAGATATGCTTTGTAGGGTCTATTATGAATATTTCGAGGAGTTACAAAAGGAATGACAAAGCTAATATACCCTTCATAAAATGGTGGTGGGTATAAAAACCTTAAATTTGCAGGTACAGATAGATGGATTTCCACAAACAGACAGAAAAAACATATATAAGGACGGGCACGAATAAATAAAATATACTTTTTATGGGGTCTAAAATTGTGTAAAAATACAACTGTCGACAAACGATTGTCGCAAACCTGTTGTAATACAGTTTCCCATCCCTGATCCCAAAGCACCTTATCATCTTTAAAAGAGAACCTACATTTTAGTTCCTAAAATTACAAAGAGATCATGAAGCCAAACTTTCTGATATCATATTTACCTTAGCTCTCCCTCCCTCTCTCCAACGTTCTCATTTTGAATTTATGATCCAATGAGAATCTTTAATTACAAAGAGATCATGAAAGCCAATTTACAAATATCATATTTACTATGGCTCTCCCTCTCTCTCTCTCTCTGTCTGTCTCTCTCACATACAGTTTTAGGAGCTCTCATTTGAGTCTCTGCTCCAAAGAATCAAAAAGAAAACAGAAAACTGCTGACTTGGTGTTGAAGAAAGGTAAATAAACCATAAAAACCTGTTTAGATGAATATGTTGACTGCTATCGGACCGACCCCTGAGAGTTGAGCTTGGCTAAGTGCTTCGTTACTCATTTGGTTAATGCAGACTTTTGAGGCCAGCCAGCCAACATTTATCTGGCCAACAAGTTAATGTGTTTGTGTGTCGTTGTGTGTTTGTAAGCGATTAATAATTGCGGCATTAAAACAAATACACAGCCACCATTGGAGCAGCTCTCGATTATTTCGTTGTTTCTGTGTTTTTTTCTTTCTGGCCAACAGCTTTGCAACTTCACACAGAGAAGTCGGAAAGCGTGCGTTTTAGTTTCCATTTCGCCGGTAGTGGATAGAGAAGTCAGTTTCTGTGTGAGAGAAGAAGCCGCAAGAAGCTAGAGTTGTTGTGTGTCAAACTGAATTGACGTGGTGTTATTTGTTTGGTGCTGTGGAGGAAATTACCAGAAAGATGAGCCGAAATCTAGGTCTATTGCTGTTGATGATTTGCCTCTGGGTGGGAGATTTTTCGGAGGCCAATACCTGTCCTGGCTGTGTGGATCTGGATGATATTATTTTCAATAAAACCATTGAACGTTTTCCATATGCTCTGATCAAATTCGATATTGCCTTTCCGTATGGCGAGAAACATGAGGCATTTGCTGCCTTCTCCCGGGCTGCCCATTCGGTTACCGATGACTTGTTGATTGGCACAGTGGGCATTAAGGATTATGGCGACAATGAAAACAAAGAGTTGGGCGAACGTTACAACATCGATGACAAGAATTTCCCGGGCATAATGCTGTTCCGTCATGGTGTCAAGGATTTCTTACATTTTCCCGAACATTTGGATGTAACGGTGGATAATTTGAAAACTTTCGTCACCTCCAATACGGAGCTGTTTATTGGCAAGGAGGGTTGCTTGAAGGAGTTTAACGAGTTGGCCAAGAATTTTGTCAATCAAAAGGAGGAAGAACAAAAGAGTCGTCTCGAAAAGGCCGAGGAATTGAAGGCATCACTGAAGAGGGAAGCGGATCAAACGAGTGCCCAATTTTATAAGCTATTCATGGAAAAACTCATGGCCCAGGGTTATGATTATTTTGAGCAAGAAATCAAACGTTTACAGCGCCTTAAGGCCGGCAAGGTATCGGCTGCCAAGAAACAAGAGCTGGCCAAAAAATTGAATATTCTCGAATCGTTTCGTGTCAATGTTCTGACCAAAGAAGAGCTGTAGAAGAAAGGGACTGATTTTTTGTTCGTGTGTTAAGCCAACTTGCCTGAATTGAAAAATTCTAGAGTTTTTTTTTAAATATTTATATTAATGTATTTTTTTTTTGCTGTGTTGTTGTAACCAATGGCAACCAATTGGAATTTCAGATTTCATGCTTTGGTGTTCTCCGCTATTCTATTTTTCCAGCAAAGCAAGTTCTTTTTCGTTTTGGTTTTGTAATATTTTTAGTGTATGCATGTTTTGTACAAATTTCGTATTAGCTTTATTAATTAATTATTGTAATATTTTTAGATAATCTTTTTTTTTTAACTGTAAATAAAAAAAAAAATATGGAAAATAAAAATCAATGTCTGACCCTCATTTTTTTAATTTATATTCAAACGAAACATGTAAAAAAGCTGTAAGATCGTCCGGGCCAAACTTTGAATACACTTCACACATTTGGAACGAATTTGGCAATTCCAAAAAAATATAAAATCCGTTAAAAAATCTGTTAAATCTTAAAAATACCGAATATAGCCTCATTTAAAATTATCAAAATACCGAATATAGGGAGGTACCATTATATGGGGGCTCTACCAAAACGTGGACCTACACAAACAATTGTCATAGGCTGTAGTATCCTTTACGAATTTCAAATACCAAATTTGAAACAATTCCGATGAATAATATCGCTAAAATCACCAAAAATACCGAATATCGGGAGGTTCGGCTATACGAAGACGTGGACCTGCACATATACTTTTTTGTCACAAATTGTAATATCCATTACGCACTTCAAACACCAAATTTGAAATAATTCCACTAAAATCATCAAAAAATACCGAATATCGGGAGGGACCGTTATATGAGGACTATATATATACCAAAACGTGGACAGGCACTTTTCTGTCATAGGCTGTAATATCCGTTACGAACTTCAAATACCAAATTTGAAACAATTTCGGTTAATAATGCCGCTAAAATCACCAAAAATACCGAATATCGGGAGGTACCGCTATATGAGGGCTATACGAAGACGTGGACCTGTACAGACAATTTTCTATCATAGGCTGTAGTATCCATTACGAACTTCAAATACCAAATTTGAAACAATTCCGGTGAATAATGTCGCTAAAATCACCAAAATGCAGAATATCGGGAGGTACCGTTATATGAGGGATATATGAAGACGTGGACCTGCGCGGACAATTCTCTGTCTTAGGCTGCAGTATCCATAAAGAACTTCCAATACCAAATGTGAAACAAATCCGATGAATAATTTCGCTAAAATCAACAAAATACCGAATATAGGGAGGTACTGTTATTTGGGGCTACACGAAGGCGTGGACCAGCATGGACAATTTTCTGTCATAGGCTGTAATATCCATTACGAACTTCAAATATCAAATTTAAAACAATTTCGGTGAATAATGTCTCTACAATCATCAAAATACCGAATATCGAGAGGTACCGTTATATGGGAGCTATACGAAGACGTGGAGATTCAAAGACAATTTTCTGTCATAGGCTGTAATATTCATTACGAACTTCTAATACCAAATTTATAACAATTCCGGTGAATAATGTCGCATAAATCACCAAAATGCCGAAAATAGGGAGGTACCGTTATATGAGGCCTTTACGAAGACGTGGACCTGCAGAGAAAATTTTCTGTCACAGACTGTAGTATTCATTACGAACTTCAAATACCAAATTTGAAACAATTTCGGTGAATAATGTCGCTAAAGTCATCAAAATACCGAATACGGGGAGGTACCATTTTATGAGGACAATACCAAAACGTGGACCTGCACAGACAATTTTCTGTCATAGACTGTAGTATCCATTACGAACCTCAAATACCAAATTTGAAACATTTCCGGTGAATAATGTCGCTTAAATCATCAAAATACCGAATATAGGGAGGTTCTCTTATATCGGGTCTTACCAAAACGTGGACCTGCACAGACAATTTTCTGTCATAGGCTGCAGTATCTATACGAACTTCAATTACCAAATTTGAAACAATTCCGGTAAATAATGTCGCTAAAATCAACAAAATACCAAATATCGGGAGGTACCGTCATATGAGGGCTATACGAAGACGTGGACCTGCACAGACAATTTTCTGTCACAGGCTGTAGTATCCTTTACGAACTTCAAATACCAAATTTGAAACATTTCCGGTGAACAATGTCGCTAAAATCATCAAAATACCGAATATCGGGAGGTATAGTTATATGGGGGCTATACGAAGACGTGGACCTGCACTGACAATTTTCTGTCACAGACTGTAAGATCCATTACGAACTTCAAACACCAAATTTAAAACAATTCCGGTGAATAATGCCGCCAAAAGCAAGAAAATACCGAATATCGGGGGATACCGGGTTATATGGGAGCTATAAGAAGACGTGGACCTGCACAGAAAATATTCTGTCATACGATGTAGAATCCTTTACGAACTTCAAATACCAAATTTGAAACAATTCCGGTAAATAATGTCGCTAAAATCATCAAAATGCCGAAAAAAGGAAGGTACCATTATATGGGGGCTATACCAAAACGTGGACCTACATGACACATTTTCAATACCAATAATCCTGCAGACATAATATACATTTGAGTAAAAATTTATCAACCTACTTCATTTCGTTCGGAAGCTAGAGTGATTTCCACAGACGGACAGATGGATAGACGGACGGACATCGTTAAATCGACATACCATTTTATGCTGATCAAGAATGTACAGGGTGAAATAAAAAAAACGGCAACTAACTTCAGATTGCTGTCATTTTTAAGCCTCTCGTCCGACAGCTGCCAGCGGAAAATGTGCACCTGCGGTTGGCCATCAGAACTCAAGCGCCGGTCATTGTGATGGTGTGGGCCGCCATAACAGCCGATAATTGCTCTCCGCTCGTATTAATCATTCTGTCGATAATAAAATGCCGAATATTATCGCTAAAATATTCTGAGGGGTGTATTAAACCCTTGGGCCCGCAAACATTTTGGCCGCAGACCTTGGACATTCCAACAGGACTCAGCACCATCGCACTCAGCACGCGCCACCCAAGAATGGTTACAAAATGAGGTTCATTTCCACCAAAATCTCCGGATACCAATCCGTTGGACTATTGTGTCTGGAGTATTTTGGAAAGCAAGGTTGGCACTAAAAAATACCAAAGTGTCGATCACCTCAAGCAAGCCTGGAGGTGATTCGCCTGGAATGGGCCAAAATACCGCAGAGCAACATTCGGGCAGCGTGTGACGGTTTCATTGGCCGTTTGGAGGCCATAATTCGTGCCAAAGGTGACCAATTCGAACAAATCTAAACTTATTTGTAAATTTGATGCTATTTCCGACATTTTTTGCTCTCATTCAATAAAATTTCACAAAAAATGTAAAAACTATGGCGTTTGACTTTGTTGCAGTTGTTTTATCTCACCCTGTAATTACTATGTAACATAGAAAAATATCATCCATGTTCTTGCAATTTCACTCGAATTGCCAGCCCTTTTTTTAAATTTTTGAAAATATTCGGGTTAAGATGGAATCCTTGTATTTAAGGTGTATTTATCGGTGCAATATTTTTGTAAAACAATCAAAACCTCAATCAAGTAATTAAAAAGATCTTTTTTGGTCCTTTTCTTTTAGAACATTCAAAAAATCACATCAAACCAGATTCTCACATGTCTCCAGAACTTATTATTTGTACCCATATGCATTCTACATAACTTTACTCAATATTTGCTATCTTTAACTTTCATCCTCCGCCCCCCCCCCACCCCAAATGGAATCACAAAACTTGTAATGATGTGTATAATACCCCTTTAAAAAAAACAATCATTATAAAACATTTTAGGTTATTTTAAACACACTAGTTATTGTCCGATATGTTTTGATTCGGAAAAAAAACATTGTTAAACATTTGAAAAGTATTTAATTCATCCATTTAAAAGTTATAATTTAGCTATCTATATGAGATGAAAAACTTTCGATAAACGTGTAAATGGCTTTTAGCCACGAAGTCCATGGCAAAATTACCTAATAACTCTAATTTGGCGACCTAATAAATATTCGGTCGGTCGGTTTGTTTTTCGTTTTACAACATTCATCCCTCAAAATATGCAACAAAGTGTACAATTTTACATTGAATTAATAACTCATTTACTATCGTATGCTAGATGGCGCTGATAACAAATTGGTGATCATTTTATAACCCATATTTAATAGCTCCCTAAAGTAGGCAACATAATGAGTTGAAGTGAGTACATGCTTGAGAGACAATCATCGATCGGTAACATAGTTAAAAATACTCATTTTCATGTGCGAGCATGCGTTTGGTGTACATTGATGCATAAAATCCTGCAAATAATAATTTATATTCTCCATATCCACTGACTATATTGACTTGAAAAGTTCATATTCAAATCGGGCAAAAGAAAAATGCTCAAGAGTAATCTAGCCATTGCACAGTAGTAGCTGTCGTTACTCAAGACATATTAAATTGATATTTTTATATCCTCCGTATATAGTATGGAGGGTATACTAAGTTCGTCATCCCGTTTGTAACTCATCGAAATAACAATTTTATTTTATTTATTTTTATTTATTAATTTTATTTTAAAAATTTAGCCTTGTCCGTTTGCTGTAATCAAGCTAGAGTCAAAACGAATTAAGATTAGAAGTTAACATTTTGCACAGATCAAAATTTTGTCTCCCAGCAGGTCAAGTTCGAAGACACGCTTTAAAGGTCCACGATCATCAGACCCCCCCCCCCCCCTTTTTTTTTTGTATTTGGTTATTGTAGCCAAATCTTTCATGGAACTCTCTGGAAATCCACACAAGGAGTTCTTTCTATGTTGTTCATACCCTATATAAGTCCACTATATCGTATATCCCACATACAACAGTACCCTCGACATTCGGTATTTGGATGATTATAGAGACTTTAATCACCGGAATTATTTAAAGTTTCAGATTTGAATATCGTAATGGCAACATAACGGCAACTCCCTATATTCGGTATTTTTATGATTTTAGCAGCATTTTTCAACGGATAATTTATCTATTATTTTATTTATTTATTTTTTTCATTTTAAAACTTACTCCAAATAGTGTAGAGGAGATGTTAAATCGAAGGAGTTCGACAGCATATTATATTTGGGCCAAATCGGATATTTCCTTCGAGAGTTACGGTGCGAACCAGCCGGTCGACCAAAATGTAGTGTTTCCGAAAAATAATAGTATACAAACCACCTTCAGATACCAAAAGAGACCTTAATATTAAATTTCAGGCATGTAGCTTTTTAATTTCAC